CTTGAGTTCATAATATGCAATAATATTCTCTATTCCTTCCGGAAGGGTGCAACGTGTGGTCGGGCAGCGGGTGGGAGGGGCCGCGGTTGCGGGTTTAGGGTGCAGCGTAGGGCACATGTGTGGCTGAGTTCGGCACGTCCTTCCTGATGCCTTACTTCGGAACCTCTTGGGCGATCAAGCAGCCTCCTAGTTGCAGCTTTTGAGCGAACGCTGGAGCTGCTGATCAGACCGTCCTAGACCCTAAACCCTAAACCCTAAACCCTAAACCCTAAACCCTCAGACCTCCAAGCAATAAGTTCCCGGCGGCAGCCGGTGATGGTGTTGGTGTGCTCCGACGTTCGCGGGAGGGCTTCGGACTGCGTTCCGAGGAGCTGGCTGGTGGTTCTTAGTAGGGAAGGAGGGAATGAGTAGTACCTTATATCCCCCTACATATCCCCTTTAAGGGATGATATAGGGCACCCAATAGCCCCCTACATATACCCTTCAAGGGGTTATGTAGGGCATATGCTGGTTCTTAGTAGGGAAGGAGGGAGTGAGGTACCCTATATCCCCGGGGGTTTACCAAAATAGGGGACCCTAATATAGACCTCAAATAGTAGGAATCCCTTCTGATAAGGACCCCAAAATAAGGTGCCCCTAATATCGGAAACCCCCCCACATGTTACCCTTTAAGGGATTATATACGGTGCCTCACTGCCTCATTCCCCCTAAACCCTAAACCCTAAACCCTAAACCCAAAACCCTAAACCCTAAACCCTAAATTCCCTACTAAGAACCAGGAAGGGAGTTGGGAGTTGGGCCATCTTGCCAGTCTGCTTGGCAATCCCCCTTGTGGGGCCTCGAGGCCTCCAGGCCCAACCCCTAAACCCTGAACCCTGAACCCTAAACCCTAAACCCTAAACCCTAAACCCTAAACCCTAAACCCGCTCAAGGGGTCGCAGGGGTTATGACGCGGGCATCTGAAACTTGAAAGTCCAGGCCTTTAAGGGCGACTGTTGCAACGCAAGACCCCGAAAGGACTCCAAAGCCTCCGGGGGCCCGTACCCTAAACCGTCTAACCCCTCAACCCCTCAACCCCGCAAAGCAGTGCAATACCGATGCGGATGAGAGGCTTTGACCACCCTCTTAGGGCATTCTCACTGGCTGAGTTCTATAGTTGTCCAGGATCAAATAAAAGGGACAACCTTTGGTTGTTGGGGAGGCTTACAAAAAGCAAAACAAGTTTAAAGATTAGCCTTTAAACCCTAAACCCTAAACCCTAAACCCTAAACCTTAAACCCTTACTCAGCCACTGTGGGGTCCACTCTGTCAGGATGCTAAAATCATAGGGCCGACCCAAGGGGGAGGTCCATGGGTGTTTTGATAGTTGGGACAGCCATTCAAGAGCAACGTAGAGCAGCCGTAGCCATAATTGGTTACAACCTTGCATAGCGTACTTCTTGAACTCTCTTGCAACCTCCACCACGCCCCCCCCCCCCCCCCCCCCCCCCTTCCCCCCCAAAAAAACACACAACAACAAAAATCACACACCTCTAGCGGCCCTCTCTCAACAGAAACTCATTGGCTAGCTTCAGAATTTCAACCTCAACACATGGAAAAGACACGTAGTCGGCCATGTACTTATCTGAGACCGACTCGGTACCCTGCACACGCCAACACCGCTTGCACTCGCCCTGAAACTGTTAAGCCCCCATCCAAAACGCTGTCATAAGGCCCTATAGACCCTGTAAACCCGACAAAAACCGACAAGCCCTAAAACCAGGCTCCCAGCGTCTCCGAGCTTCGTCAAAGGACTCGCCGTTGGTGCCCTGGAACTGACAAAGAGGGTCTAGGATGTGGGGATGTAGGACTTGGGATTCGGGAATGTGCGTTCGGTCAGAGCCTGCTTCAAAAGTTCATGAGTGCCCCGGATACGGCTACGACTGGCTATAACTCTGCGTGCCCTACTTTTGGCCCCGTTGTCCAATCTACCCATGAACTGGTTTAGGGCTTAGGGTTTAGGGTTCCCCAAGTATGGCACGCGTTTTGGGGGGGTGCCCTACAAAATGCGAGGCCTCACATTTGGGTACTTCCCCAAAAAAGGGGGTACCCCCCTTTATGCCCCCAAATCGGATAGAGTCCCCATTAAAGGAGCCCCCCTTTAAAAGAGTAGAACCCCTTTTTCGGAAACCCCCCATATTTAGGGTTTCGGGCATGAGGTGGTTGGAGTGGCAAGCACATCTTTGGCAGTCACGTCTTGACCATAGCCATACAACCCTCTCCAGGAGGGCCAACAACATGATTGCACAAGGGGCTTGCGAGATGAAATGAGGGGAACTACTCGACAGCAACTCATTGCAATCACTAACATTCCGAATATGTTCGCACTTCGAATTCGGGGCTCAAAGGGGGCGCTTGTGGGGTTTAAGGACACAATCTCCTGGAAGCCACAAGCATTTGTCAAGCAAGAAAGAGCCTGTTGTGCAAGGAGGCTAGAAGATGAAGTCCCTGAGCTACACGCCTTGAGCTTTTTATGTTTTTTCAGAACCCTGAACCCTAAACCCTGGCAGTATCCATAGGGCGATCCGCATGTACTTGGGTTTTCGATATTAGGGTACGTACTTGCAGTCGGTGTTATAACGGAATCTCCTTGCATGCCCGGCTATCCTCTGACTGAGGCCTCGGCTCATTGCGACCAACAAAGGCCAGGTCCAGAAACGGCAAGCTCTTCCACCTCCCGGCTGAGCACCGAACATTTCACTTTCGGAATGTCGGAAGGTCAAGAGGCATATGCGGGACATATGATGCAGGGCTCCCATTACTAGTACTACAGACGCGAGGTCGTGGGTCATATATGAAGGTGAGACAGCTTAGTTCTGCGCGAAGCACCAAACATCGAGGACATTACATCCAGCGTTGAGGACGAGAGAAGCAGGGCCCCATTAGTAGGATTCGATATTGGGCACCCAATAAATACACTCACCAATACCAACCCTACATCAACTGCGGAAATATGCAGAGCATGTGCGTAGATTGTGCATGCCCCTCTGCCTCCTCACGGAGACGAGGTCACCCCATCGGACTTTCACATTGTTTCATCTGAGCCCACAGCCCCCCGAACCGACGCAAAAAGGAGAAAGCGAGACTGTACTTCTCGTCAGCCGTCTTATTGAAGCCGGACACACCCTGAACCCTGACATGCCGAGCTGCAAGTTTATACGCCCAAAGCCGAGCACAACGACATGGAACATCGCCCTTGGGCATGTAGGGTTTGAGGTTGAAAGTTCAGGGTGTATGTAGGACCCGAAACCCTAAACCCTAAACCCTGAGTTTGTGGGCTACAGGCTTTGTTCTGGCATCCACGGCGGCAGGCCACCGGCAAGGGACTTGAAAGGAACCGTCGCGACCTGACCTGTAGTGCAAGCCTAGCTCAGAGGCGCTCTGCCCTTGAAGGAATGCATGCCGGATCAACCCTAAACCCTAAACCCCAAACCCAAATCCCTCAACCCAACTCACTCGCTTCAAAGACATCGAGCCTGAGCCTCGCCACAGGCAAAGGCCAGCACGTTGCTCCGGCTGAACCTCAGAAGAACCACGGAAGGCTCATGGGGCCATGGGCTGCATAAGTACCCCAGGTAGGGTTTAGGGTGAACCCGCCCCCCCCCCCCCCCCCCCCCCCCCCCCCCACAAAAAGTAACCTCCTGGCTTCCTGCTTGCTCAGTGGCTGTTTGCGCGAAACCAAGATGTGGAGCTTCGGGAAGTGTAGACCCTTCCGTCCTCTCTACTCTCCACCCTTAAACTCCAAACCCCAAACCCAATTCCCGCACTCATTATCACCCCCAGGCCAAGGTATAAAAAAAATATAAGCCCTAACCCCTAAGCCCAGCTCCACACCCTAAACGCCTACACCCTAAACCCTGAACCATACGATCCTCAACCCTTTCGACTTAGGATTTAGGGTTGAGGTTTAAGGATCCTCGACCCTCAAACCCTAAACCCTAAACCCTAAACCCGAAACCCTAAACCCTAAACCCTGGCAGCCACTAGCCTTGGTGTAGGGCTTGACCAGCTTATACAGCGTGTCCTGGCCAGAGGAAGGGAATTTCTTTGTCAGGGCCAGGGGGAGCAACGCTTCCGCAAGGAAGGCTAAAGGGGTAGAGTGAGGAATTGGGGTTTAGGGGTTTAGGGTTAAAAGGTTTTAGGATAGGGTTTAAGATTTTGGGGTTTGGGGTTTGAGGGAGTTCTTTTTTCCAGGATCCTCCAGGTAACCTTCGACTGATAGAGCTCTTATGGGCATTTAGGGTCCATTCGTGTAGTTGAGGGTCAAGGGTTTGTACCGTACAAAAAAGTACCGCTACATATTCGGGCCTCCTTATTCAACCGAACCGCAAAATCATACATTGTCTTCTTCGGTGGCTGCTGAAGCAAGATGCTCCCAACAAAGCTCAATCGCTAGAGGCACGCCCAGACCAGGGCATCTGCCTCTCGACGTAGTCGGACGGGTGTAGGTAGCCAGCCCACACCTGCACCGGGCAGTTGAACACTTCCAAGCAACAGTCAAGCAGGAGCCCATACATGCGAAAGGCATGGGAGGTGAGTGAAAAGCCTATTGCTGTGCCCAGGGCAATGCTGGAAGCTCTGGAGGAAAACAGGTCGCGGCAAGCTCTTGCCCAGCGCCGGAGCATGTCACCAAAGACAGGCACGAGCGCATCTTCTTTGAAACTTAGGGCATGTGGTAGTAGTTCTCCACATGCCGTTAAAAGAAAGTCCCGGCGTGGGACATCTATGAAATTAAACTGCTTCTCTGAAATTTGGGGGATACGACACTGACCGTGCGCTGAGAACATCGAGTCTCACAACAACAATCCCGGATCCTGGGGGGAACATGGGGAACCCCTTCCCCCCTGCTTTTCAGGAAGCACCATCTAGACTTACCAGTAGCTATCTGCCTTGGCAGGAGAGCAAACAGCACGGCTACATGCCTTGTCTCTCTCCTGCATTTCTGTGCTGGATGTCAAAGTTCACAGCATCGCGAAGTCCCACTGCGAGGGCGAAACTTCATGAAGACCTGACTGTGGCTGGAACCAGCCCGTAGTTTTGTAGCCTGAGCCAGCCGTCCAGCTGATGGCTTCGGTCTTCTTGTGCCCCGTGCCTTGCATGACGACGCCCAGAATGTCGTCATTGCGCCTCATGGTGAAACGGATCTGCTGGTATGTTTGGCTCCATTTGGCACCAGACAGCTTGGACCCGTCATGCGACTGGTAGTTCGACATTTTCGAGAACCTCCACTCCCTCATGAAATCGCTTGGGCCGGGTAGGTACAAGGCCACCACATCCCCGTTGCTCGCAACCACCATCTCCCACAAGTGGTTTGGGGAGGTTCGCAGGTTCATCGCCTGCTGAATGTCCCACTTCCCGTAGTTGGCGTGTACGGGAGCCCTGAAGACTTTCGGATTGAAGTCGTACCTGGTGATGCAGTAGAGGTGGTCCCAACCGTCAATGCCAAAGTTCCACTGGGACCTAGGGACTTGGTCCAGCGGCGTTTCGGCATGTAGGACGACGTCTTGGTAATCCGAAGCAGCACTGAGTACGTGAACTTCCGACTTGCCTGTGCCTGTGTGCGGCCCCAACAGAAGACCTAGTAGGTCGCCGTTGGACTTAATGCCAAACCACCACTCCTGGCCACTCTGTTCCTTTGAGGTGTACCCCCAAGGAGTGGCGACGTGCAGCTTGAAGTTCTTCAGGTCCGACGCAGCGTCCAGGACGTGCACCTCGGTCTGCCCTGTTCCGGTGGGCCCTTTGTTGATGCAGACCAGATCACCCTGATGAAGCACGAAGCCTCGCTTAAACGGATCGACCACGATTTCGCCACCCGGCTGTTTCTTACCAACGGCCAAGTACAGCAGATGCGAGTTGGGGCCCTTGGTTTTCGCGCAGATCTCCTTCGTGCACCCGGCCCAATGCTTCAGGGTCAAGAAGTCGAGCTTGATGTACACGCCGGCAAGGGTCTTTGGGGATCCGATGTGCTTCACGAGCCACTTCACGTCGTCCATGCTAATGGAAGTGCCGAACTTCACGAGGATCTCGTCGATCCACATCTCGATGAGGGCGAGTGTGAATGAGCCTCCACCACCCATGATGTCTGCAGCAGCGGCGACGATAGCTTCGCCGAGGTCCACGATCGAGAATTCTTTCCCGAACTTCACCATCTCGTACTTGCCGAGAAGCTCCTCTTTGCGGTGACCGTTGCCAGTGTTGCAGAAGCCTCGCCGTCGTCTGCCATGTGTGCCGGGACATGGCAAGTCCCAAACCTCATCATCCACGTCTTCATCCATGTCCTCCGAGGCCTCAAGGGACTCTTCCTGCCACTGAGGGACACTGGGGAATGAGCGTTCAGCACATGTGGGAGGAGTCATGATTGAAACTGGCTGGCCTTCGTGCCCTTGATTTGCAAGAACTCCAAGCTGCAGTCGCTTGACGAGTTGCAAGCATCATCGGCCGCCATCGCGCTGCCAATGTCCTCACATGCAACGTGTTTTCACGGAGACCGTCGCGATTCAACAAACGGCATGCATCCATGACCCACTGGGACTTAGTGACAGTACATGATGTGACGTCTCAATCGTCGTAACTTTCGCCACTGCAAGTGGCTTCAGGGCTGCAGCACTGCAGGTCCTCACCCCTCGCGGTGACCGCCATGGCCACAAGGAGCCTCGTCAAAGTCAGAGCGTTGACTGCCATTGAACCCATCCCACTAGCGCGGGACACTCGGCTTAAGAGGCAGAATGAGGCAGATACGCTCGGAACTCTGGAGCCGAAAAGGCTGTGCTTCAAGGAATGGCGCCAGAGCCCCAGGGAAACCGCGGAGCTGCAGTCGCTCTATATTGGGCAGTCTGTGCAGCACATCACCACTCTGGGCAGACACGCGGCACACATGCCACCTACCAGGGCTACCTTAAGAAGCCCGGAGCCTGCCTTGCTTCTCCGCGATGGCCATGGCGTCCATGCGACAGCCTGCACTGCAAGGGTTTAGGCTGAATTGCTTAACCCTGTCGGGTTCCGGGGCTTCTGTTAAACACCCTGAGCTCTGAATTAACCGACAGGTATAAATTGCATCAAAACCTGGCACTGCGCTACCTGTGCTTGTGTCGTGTGCTGCACTCTGAGGCCCGCCCAGGAAAGTCCTTTCTTAAAACTATTCACGAATTCAATACCCAAATTCCCCAAAACTACTAGCCATATTTCTTTCATTCCAACATTCTGCAAAGATGGAATTTTGGAATGTGGAGCGGTGAAAGTACAAAAGTGGTCTTGAGCTTGGTCTTGGGGGGTTACCTACGTATCCGCCGGGGCCTGCAGTATCTTTGGTTCAAGCAATCTGCGCCCCTGTGGGTTTTGGCCTCAACGGACTCATGGGTTCAGAGGAGTGACCCTCGGGGTTGAAAGCTTCGGCTTCAGGGTTACGCCGTGTAATGTGGTCGCTTGCGTGTTTTCAGTGCATCGTTCAGGAGGAAGGGCTGATAACGAAGCACCTGGTCGATCAAAGATGCTTGTAGTGGGAGTTGTGTTGTCTTACAGGGGCCTTTTGTGATGGATGCACTGTCGTCTTGCGGGAGCGAATGCTGAGGACGGCTCAAGGGCGAGCGCAGGCGCCCTTAAGCCGAAGTCACGACGTCTAAAATTACAAAATGAGTACACCCAATAAATACACTCATCAATAGCTGAGGACGCCTCAAGGGCGAGCGCAGGCGCCCTTTACGTGTAAACTACAAAACGAGTCGCTTCCGAAAACTTTTGCTTTGGGGCCCTAATACAATGTGACTGCGCCGGGCCTGGCGGTAGCCATTGATATACTGAAGTATACATATGCATGTAAATAAAAACTCATATATACACATGTATGTTGAGCGGCCGTAGTTATGTACTGTACTTACGGTACCTAAGTAGTCCCAAATTCAGCTCCTGTAGGGTGCTTTTGCATTGCGCAGGGTCTGGCTGAGGGTTCCTCGCTTCCTGAGCCCCTTGACCCCAGACCCCGAGTCCCCAGTCCCTGTACCAGCTGAGCAGGAACCCGGAACTCATCCGGGAGCCCAGCGCGAACCAGCTGCTGCTGCCGCCTCTTAAACCCCAAACTCTGAACCCTAAACCCCAAATCCCGGCTATAGGGCACGTGCTGCAGGATTTTTCGGGTTTATGTAGGGTTTATAGGTTCTAGGGTTTAGGTTGTGTGGAAGGGCTTGAAGGCTTCAGGTTTGCGAAGCTGCTTCTTAGGTGATGCCGGGTGCTACCTGACGAATGATTGTTCGTATGTTCCGAACTCTAAACCTGAAACTTTACACCCTAAACCCTGAGCCCCAAGCTTGGGTATCCTCAAGCCTTGCAGGAACGCAACATCAATAAGCCGACCACCAAATTACCCCGCCCCCCCCAAAAAAAAAAAAAAAAAACAACATTGAAAACTCCAAGGAAGCTGATGACCCAAGTACCCCCCCCCCCCCCCCCCCGGCAAGTTTTTGGTATTTAGTTGTTCCGTGTTTAGGGTTTAGGCTTCAGGGGGGACTGGGCCGGGTGTAGGATGCAGCAAGGAGCTCAACCAAAAGCAGCGAGTTTGGTTGTGCAGCTCCCAAATACCGAACCCAGATCACCCAGGGCATCGAGGACCACTGGAGCAACCCTCAAAACCCTAGCATCACCCTAAACCCTAACCGTCAACCCGAAACCTTTTTGAGCAAGGATCCCTCAAGCTTCTACCCCCCCCCCCCCCCCCCCCCCCAAGGTAATCTCCTGGCTCCCTGCTTGCTCAGTGGCTGCGCGAAACCAAGATGTGGAGCTTCGGGAAGCATAGACCCTTCCTTTGCCCCCCAACACCTCAAACCCAAGCCCCACACACTCTCTCTACTCTCCACTTACCCCCCCCCCCCCCCCCCCCCCCTAAACTCCGAACCCCAAAACCCAAAACCCAAAACCCTGAACTCTGAAAACTCTGAACCCTAATCCGGCGACTCCAGAAGCCAACGGATCTAGAAACCCTTAAACCCTTCGACCCCGAAGATTCGGGTTTAAGGTGTGTTTAGGGTTTAGGGCTTAGGGTTTAGGGTTTAGGGTTTAGGGTGTAGGGTAGAGCCCTGAAAGAAGTCCCCCAACGTCCCACCTGGCCCTCGCCCACAGTTGAGGCGCGCAGCGCCTACCACAGACATGTGACTGTGTTAGCCCCTCTAAACTACAAACTCAAAAAGAAGCACTTGCCCTCTGAAGTTTCTGTGATAATTGGGTGGTGATGTTCATTGGGGAGCGCCTACTCGATCCCAATCAAAGCTCTGAAACAACACCATGAGGCTATGAGACCAGAAGCAGGCTTCGCATGTCAGGATGTGCCAGGCCTTCTTGAGCCGAAGGTTCTCGACCGGAAGCGCCCAGACGCGATGGAATGTTCAGGCTTCAGGGTTTAGGGGCGCGTTTCGAGTTTTTTCAGGCAGGGCTAAAGTTGTGAAAGGCTTGGCAAGGTGATGTTTAGGGTTGCTTTGGCATGTTTAGGGTTTATGCTCGTGGGTTGTTACGGGGCCTCAGTGGGTTCAGGGTCTTAGGGCTTTAGGGCTGCTCGGGTTTTAGGGTTGAAGTGTTTTGGTTTAAGCAATTGACCCCAGGGATCGTGGTTAAAGGTTATCCGGAAGCATTATGGTGGCTCGACTGATCCGATGATAGAGCCCAGCATTGCACAGAGGGCCGAACCGGAGAGCAACTGGTTCTGTGTCATGCCAACTGCGACGCAAGGGATGTGAAATTCGCTCCGGCTTCTGGAAGGGTCTAGAACAAGCAGACCAGGATCTGGTTTCCTTGCCGTGGCTTTGTGCTAGATAAAGTTGATTACTAAGTTCGGGGACCAAGTGCCCTCTGTTCTTCGCTTTCTTGGGGCTCTTCTGTTCCTTGCTTTCTGCTCCCCTATTGAATGCTGTAGTGCTCTCTGTTCTTTGCTTCCTGTTCCCCTGTTGCGGACCAGAGAATTCACTTCACTTAGGTGCGTTCTGACTTGCGCACCTCGGTTGAGGGAGAATCATAACCCCTCAGGATGATGGCTTCATAGCCTCCCCAAACAAAAATGTGCTGGTAACATAATCGTGGCGCCAGAGCCTGCCCACAGTTCAGATGTTTCGGCAACCGAAAAATGTTTAGGGAACGTGTTTTACAGCCCCTAAATGAGATGTTGATCCTTGCGTGAGAACGCTTGTAGTCCCAGGAAGGGATATATTCTTATTTCTACAGTGCTCTGAAAGTACAGACCCTATAGTGGGGCACAAAAAACAAGCTTAGATTCTATGAAGTGGGGCACTAATCAGATCTAGACCCGCTGTCGTGGGACACAAAACAAATTTAGAGAGCCTATAAAGTGGGACCGTCTGACGCTTAGTTTCAGCACGCCACAGCGCTTCAGTGCCAGCACTGGCAGAGGTTGCTTGTTGGAAAGGCGAGGTGACTGCCAAGTCAATTGCTAAACGGGGGAACTCTCGCCATGAATGGGGGCGGATAGAAGGGGGAGCAACAATCAATGTGTCAGCAGGACGTTGCTGGGGATCGGGAAGGAGGCCTATGGGTTCCAGAGCTGGTCGCAAGCCAGCCATAATTGCACATCGAGATACCGTATTACGAACCTCAAGGATGCACTTTTCGGCGTGGTCGATGGCAGCTGAGCTTGGAAGTGACGCTGCGTCCAACTCACTGGCCTGAGCAGCGGTGGATTTGTTGACGAAGCCCGCTCTCCTACATGCTACATGCCCTGGACTGCATATTGTTCTTGGTTCAGGTTACTAGAATATTCAGTATTGTTGAACACTGCCTAAACATCAACTGTTCAATTTGAAGATTGCCTAGTGGGAGCGGTTCACGGCTGCCTTCTTTTGCTAAGTTCACATCTGGACTTGGCGCGGTATTCTACAGCAGATCCGCCCATCTTTAGAGCTGCACGTGTCTGGAGCAGTGGGGTGAGGAAATCCCAATCCACGCCATGAAAACCTTGAACCCTCAACTACAAAGGGTTCAAGTAAGAGGTAGGGGAAACCAAGCAATTATTTTACTTCGAACGTCCCCACCTTCAGGGAGTCTTGGGTTGGGCACTCCACGGAGTCTCTGGGGTTGGGCACTCCAGGAGCCTCTGGGGTTGGGCATTTCAGGGAGTCTCTGGCAAGGTGCACTCCAGGGAGTCTCTGGGGTTGGGCCCAGGGATTCTCTGGGGAGGGAGTCTTTGGGGTTGGGCACTCGAGATCTGGGGTTGGGCAGTCCAGGAAGTCTCTCCAGGGAGTCTCTGGCACTCCAAAGAGTCTCGGGCGCGAGGAGAAGAGTTCCAGGTCCAACACTGTCTTGGAATCATTCGGCCAAGACACGCTTTGGGTTTTAAGTTATTCGGGTTACTGGGGTTATTAGG